TTAGGGAAAAAGAAACACATTTATGTCCATTCTGTAGGTAATCCAGCGTTCACTGGAAGTGTGGGGTAGTGAAGAATCACTGCAAGAAGCAAAGGAGCTACGCCGTGACAGCAGAGAGAAGATGAAACAGAAGAAGTTTGATAAGAAAGTTAAAGGTAAAAGGTCAAACTTGCATACTGCAGTAACTGAAGTTAAGTACAGTTCTGTTCAAATCTGTGCCTGCATCTGAGTGAAGTACTGAGGAAGTCTTCAGTGTGACAAAATGGAGGTTTTCAGGAACTGTGGGTAAGCCTGGAGCAGCCTGGTCTGACCTCACAGCTGACTCCTGTGGGCATAGGGTCGGACTGCAGGGCACAGGTCCCTCCCAGCCTGAATTACCCCATTGTCCTGTGGCCATGATGTGACAAAATAATTGCTGTGGTTCATCATGGTGGTTTTAAATTTCTTTTGTTTGACCCAGAACGTGCCATGGATTGTTCCTGTTGGTTTTGACTTGTGGAGAACATGTGTTTTTGTGGCCATGGGTTATAATTGTGTCACAGATAGGCCGTCAGGTGGAGTAACTGTAAAAGAGGGTGGAAAACACCTTTTCCCATTGTTCTCAGCATTCCCAGCTGCTGTCTTTATGGCGCATTATCCTTGGGTTTTTTTTCCTAATAAGTTAGTGCTTAGGAAAGTATGCAGTGGGTGGGACCTAGGAAAACTACTGTGAGCATTTTTAATTTTTAAAGATTTTAAATTTTAAGAAAGATGATGTTTGTTTCTTGGCAAGAACTGTGGCTTGCTGTGGTGCCTGTGTCACTTGTGGCACCCCTGCTTCGCTTGTGGTCGGCCTTCACACGAGCAGAAGGCCCAAGCTGGCGGCACTGGTGTTGCCTGGAGGAGGCAGAACTTGAGGTGGAGCAGTAACCCTTGTCTGGGTTGGCCATTGATGTTCTGTGCGCAGAAGGGCTGACTGGCAGCAGGCTGTAGCCAACGTGCCAGAGTTCAGCACAAGCACAGGCCTTGACGTGACAAAGTTTGCAGCCTGAAAGGCTTGGCTGGAAGGGTGGCCACGTTTTGCTGTGCAGTATGCTTGCCACCCGCTTGCAACATCCGGATAATATCTTGGGCTCGGCTGCCAGCCTGTGCACGCCGGAGAGCCCGCAGATTGTGCTGCGGCTGCTGCAGTGGCAACCGACGTTACTGGGCATAAAGCTGACAGAATGCCAAGTCATTTGGGAGGCTTACTGGGACCCGAACGAAAATCTTTCCTGCTCACTTAGAACAAATGAGGTGTTCTGTAAAAATCTTCCTTTGCATTCCATGTTCCCTTTTTTTGGTTACCTTTGAATGGCTTCATGTAAAAAGGCAGTGGGCAATGTTTCCTTAGTTCAGATGGAAAATGTTCACCTGTGAGATCCCACGTGACACTGTAGTTCTTAGCCTTTAAAATATGCAAACAAGGTGCAGATTGCAGGGCAAGTCAAAGCTTGTTCTTGCAAGAGCAGATCCTTGCCCAAAATTTATGGAAGACAGGCTGCAAGCATATCGTCATCTGTAGGCCTCAGAAAGGTGGTTTAGCGTGAGTTTTATAAAACTTTATTTAAGATTATTAAAATATTAACATTTTCCTGTATTTCTCACCAGAACTCCGCCGCGCTGTGAGGAGTAGCTTGTGGAAGAAACAAACCAGTATCCACGAACATGAGTATGGACCAGAAGAAAACATTGATGAAGATACATTTAAAAAGACATGCACTGTATGTGGCCATGAATTAACTTACGAGAAGATGTAGTGCTAATCTGGGGGTTGTTTAATTTCATTTTATTTTTAATAGTATTTTGTATCAAAGTCAAATAAATGATAATTATGAACAAGCTGTTGCCAAGTGCTGTGAAGAGTTACATTTTTCAGGAGTAAGAAGCTCAGTACAGAACAGTAAGATTTGGCTTTTAAATTAGCTCTTACTTTCAGCCATTCACAAATTTGTATCTTCTAGGCCAAAAGATAGGTTTGTATCATTGTAGTTGATACGCTGATGAAATGAATGATGAAATGCTCATCTACCTCTGTTAGAAGAGGAAGGCTCCATATTTTTGTCCTAACTGTTGGCTGATTTTTGGTTATTGGTCACGTGCAGGCAGAGGGCAGTGAGCCGACAAAGCACCTCTGCTGACCCTGCCATGAGGCAGGTTCTCTTCTTGCTTGGTTACACAACTGCATAAAGGAGAATTCTCCCCAAAAGGAAAGCTGCCTACTGACAGATCTGACAGGTTCTGACAGATCTCTACCATATTTCACAGGGAAGAGTCCTTATGTTTATCAGCCCTACTGCTTTCTTGTGTGTTTTTTTTTTCCCCCCCAGCTTTTGGACCAGAGACCAAGGCAACTCCAGAAATCGGTAAATTAAAAAATACCTGTCCTTGGGAGCAAGGGGGGAAGTAGTGTTTCAGTGGAGAGCTCTCTAAGCACACCTGAATGACGTTTGCTTTCAGTAGAGGCTGGATTTCCCTCCAAGTTCAAATTTTAAATCCTCATTCTTGCAACTGTTGAGAAATGGCTGAAGTGAAGGAACATGCTGTAGGTAGTGGCTCTGCACTTGTCAGTCATTGTAAATACAGTAGAGCTCAGCAAAGTCTCTGGGGACTTTAGGGCCCCGTGGCTGCTGTGGCTATGTGGAACTGGGACGTTCTGCTGGACAGCTATGACACAGTCACTATCATGGAAATGTGATGGGATGACTGCCATGACTGGATGGCTATAAGCTCTTCAAAAGGGACAGGGGAGGAAGGAGAGGCAGTTGGGGTGGCTCTGTACATCAGGGAGTATTTCAACTGTATAGAGCTCAAGGACTGATGATAAGGCCAAGTGCCTATGGATAGGGATTAGGGGGAGGGCTAACAAAGCAACATCCTAATGGGAGTCTGTTACAGACCACCCTGTCAGGAGGAAGAGGTAGTTGAACTACTCAGCAGGTGGCTGACATTTCACAGTCACTAGCCCTTGTACTCGTGGGAGACTTTTAACTTGTGGGATGACTGCTGGAAACAACCCAGTGGAGAGGAGGCAGCCTAGGGGGTTCCTGGAGTGTGTCAGACATAACCTCCTCACACAGCTGGTAAGTGAGCCTATTGGGGCAGGGTGCCCTGCTAGATCTGCTTTTTACCAACAGAGAAGTGCTGGTGGGAGATGCTGTGGTCACAGCCTGTCTTGAGCATAGTGACCACAGAATGGCTTAGAGTTTTCAATTCTTAGTAAAGTAAGGAAGGGGGTAAACAAATCCTCTACCCTAGACTTGCAGAGGGTGGACATTCGCCTACTCGGGACGCTGGTTCAGAGTGCCTTGAGAAACAGTCCTTAGTAACAAAGGGGCCTAGATAGGCTGGATGTGCTTTATGAAGTGCAGGAGCAGCCTGTCCCTATGTGACAAAAGACGAGCCATGGGACAAGGAGGCTGGCCTGGCTCAACAGGAAGCTTTTGCTGGGACTTGAGATGGAGGGCAGGAAGGAGTTTATGACCTTTGGAAGAAGGAGCAGGAATCTCTGGAAGAGTACAAGTATGTTGGTAGGTCATGTAGATAAAAAAATTAGGCAAAAGCTCAGCTAGAACTCAATCCAGCCCCTGCTGTAAAAGATAATGAAAAGTGTTTTTATAAATGTATTAACAAAAGGAGAGTCAAGAAAAATCTCCATCTTTTATTGGACACTGGGGGGAACACTAAGGATGAGGAAAAGACTGAGGTTCTTAATGCCTTCCTCATCTCAGTCTTTAACACTGAGACCAGTTATCCTCAGGGCCACCAGCCCCTTGAACTGGAAGACAGGGAAAGGTAGCAGAACAGACTCCCTGCACTCTGGGAGCAAGCAGTTAGTGACCTGCTGTGACACTTAGACTCTCACAAGTCTGTGGGGCCAGATGGGATTCACCCAAGGGTACTGAGTGAGCATTCAAGGAATAACTGTATGTGGCACTTAGTGCTATGGTCTAGTTGACAAAGGTGGTGATCGATCACCTCGGAGGTCTTTTCCAACCTAAATGATTCTGTGATTCTGTTAAAGTGTCTGGGAAGGGCGGATGATGGCTCCAGTAATAGGCTTTCATTTTCCCAAGCTTTCTTGTCTGCAGCCCCCTAGTAACCTGCCTTCCTGCCAAGCACAGAAGGACTAAGGGGCTTGCAAAGCCTAGGAAAGAGGAGTGGGGGGTTGACTGAAGGGCAGAGGGCAGGTCCCAGCAGGGCTCTCGGAGGTAGTCCTCCATGTCACAGTTGCATGACCCAGTGTTGTCTCCTCTCTTGGGGCAGCTGGGAGGTGCACACTGGCTACTGAATCACCTATGGGCATGTTGCAGCAGCCACCCTCCCAGCAAGCACCACCAGCCCACACCTTCCTCTCCTGCAGGGGCACCTCCCCCTGCCAGAGGACAGGAGGTGGCAAGGTAGAGGCAGAATTTCTACATCAGCACCTCCATGCACCTAGCAGCACATGCTCTTGCCTCACTCAGCTGAGCAGGTGGGGAAGCGTGTTAGACCAGTCGTACCACAAGGAGTCGAAGGCTTGTGTGTTAGGGTACTAGCAAGAGTGCTGGGAAATAAAACTGCTCCAAACTCCACTGCATTCGACACCAGCATAAGCCAGTAAGACGGCTTTGCTTCAGTGGTCCCCAAAACAGATAAGACAAACACTCTCAGCACCAACCTGCTTCACCTTCATTTATTTTGTCTTTAATTGTGCATTTTTTTCCAACCACACCACATTTCTACAGCACCTTTACACTATCCATCACCTCATGCTTCAGCAGTTCCAAGTTTCTCCAAGTTAGCTGCTCGTATCACTATGTCAGTGTCTCATTCTCTTTCCCATGGATCCAACTATTTTTCTAGTCAAGTCCGGTGTACACCACTGGACCTGCAAGGAGGCGAAGGTGTCCAGCAGACTTGAAAAATGTAATCAAAGCCCATGCTCACCATGGAAGTTAAATCTACTTTGAAAGACATTGCTATTTGGTTTTAAAACACAGAATTACACTCAAGCATTTGCAACTGTTATCCCCAGCAACTGTATTTGTCAAGGCTCAAAAGAAGTTACAGGTTTGCGAGTTCTACCTGCATTACCAGCTTTACAGAAGTCACATTTATAGTCAGAACCCCCACCATCAGCTAATATCAGAACTCTGATATTGATCCAAGCCAGTGAAAAAACTATTAAACTCCAATTAAACCTCTAAAGTATTAAACGTTCCTTTAAAAAACAAAAAATTTCCTATTTTGTTACTCAAGAACATTAACGGAGAAATATCTGAAGCTCAAGTTCGTGCATGACTGACAAAACCTTTGCAAAAAGCAAATTTACACCAAATAACAGTAAATCCTGAAAGAATGGGGGGGGGCAGTGTTAGTGGAGTCAGAAGGGGCAAGCAGAAAAAGCAGAAGTAACAGGTCTAAGTCTATGAGGCTATATCAGACTGCTATAGGCAGCACACAAAATTAGGTCAACAGTCAAAGTAGAAAGTTCCATTTTTTACCCCCCTTGCTTTATCAGGAGGTCACTGGTCAATGTACAGATGAAATACATTTCTAGATATATCAGAAAAATAATTTGTACAGAAACAAAATTACTCAAAGTTAATAATTTTCCAAGCATAAACTAAATACCACTGGGTAGGAAAATTCTTTTAAACATTCAGCAGCAAAATGAACAGCTTGGAAACACACTGCACCTGACAGACCTGAGCATCTAAGGCAGTGTCTCTGCCACTCACCACTGCTCACCGTGATACAGACCACTCCGGTTTGGCCTTTATGTGCATATCGGTATTTATGTAACTCAAAACTAAGGCTACTCTATTTTCAGGCTGTATTCTCCCAGTCTGAGTCTCCTGTAAGGTCTTGCTTCATTCAGCATTAAAAAGCTTTCTTGAAGCATTCTGAGCCACGTGCTGTTGCCACATTTCAAAATGAGAGCACAAACCAGAAGCCACTGCAAACTAGTTGTTGCCAAGCAAGATGAGGTGAGAGCACTTGGTTTATCCACTGTCACTAGCCAGGAAGCTTTTTCGCATCATTGCAGGTCTGCAAGTACAGCCCAGTGAAAATGTGACAGCCCAGCTGGAGCTCCCAACACCCAGGTAAGGCTCGCAGTATGGAAGTCAAAAGTTTGTTCCACTCCAGCTCTTGCTTACTGCCTCTACCAGTGGGGATTGCTGCCAGGAGCACTTCACAATTTCTGACCATACTACAGAAAGGATTGCATTTTTCAGAAGTGGTCCACAAAGCTTCTCTACTGACTGTTTGTAGATACTCTAATAGTAAACACTAGACAACATATCCTAAACACGTGTTTCATTTGTTATTACATGTTCTTTCAAACCATGAAAATCTATCTGGATCGGTAATTGACAGATTGATATGTTCTGTGCCACTTTCAAAACATGTTTCACATGCTCAAAGTTAAGACACTTTTCCTATGCCATATTAGAGAACTTACCACAATACTCACTGAGAAGTATATTCCTTCTCGTAGTCACAAAACACACATTTCTTCAATTAATTTGATTTAAAGGGCCAGGCAGAGATAACAAATCCTATTTTTTGGGGTTAGGTATGGTTGGGTTTTTTTGGGGGGGGCAGGGTGTGTGTCTGATTTTTATTTGTATATAGGCAAGAAGGGCAAAACAAAATTACTATAATGAAGCAAAGAGTCAAACCAAATTAAAAGATAACAAAAAGAATTAATACTTAGCTTCACTACTATCCCCTATAGGTCATATATTTTAAGGCTTATGATGCTTACACAGTTTGTTGTTGGTTAGAGTACTCTATTGTTTTATATAGGAGCACATGAAAGCCAGTTCTAGTCAAAAATTTTTTTCATCCCCATGTCATATTTTCC